ATACAACAGCCATCTACTAGCCAAATAGGCCTGCAACAGATCCTTTCCTCAAAGCCTCAGAAGGAACAGACCCTGTCAACGCCTCGATCTCACACTTCTGGCCTCCAGAACTGTGAATAATAAACACCACCAGAACAATCAGTTTCTGTGGCAGCCTCTGTTGTTCCAAATACAGAGACATAGAGACAGGAAGGGACTCTTCTGGGGTCACACGAAAGGAAAACAGAATTGGGCCTCTACCATGGTTATTTTCTCTTTGCAGAATAATAATTCTTCAACTATTGATGTTTGCTTACAGAGTTAACGTTTACATGTAAATAAATACTTACAATACTAACTTGGAGCAACTCAAAGCAGCCATGTACTGCCACTTTTAGGTTCTGCTTCCAGTTAAGACATAGAAGGAAAGACTCCAACTACCACTTCTCCAACAAAGAGCACCAGATCAACTACAAAACCATATTTTATTTTATCCACTGGGAGAGCTGAGGTCAAAGAAGTGTAGCGGAACCAAGTTTCAGAGGAATTGAGCCCTTCCTGAGTCAAGATCCACAGCCATAGCTATCCCTGGGGCACAGGTGGAATAAGGAGCTAATTTCATCTAAGCTGTGGAAAAGAGGAAATAGCCACATTTTTAACCATGTAGGCTGGAATAATGGATTGCACCTGGATCCGAGATGTCTTAAATCTACTCCAGACTTTTACCAGGTGTGTGGTGGCAGGCGGGCAGTCAGGACAGGGATGGACACACAGTGGTATCTGCGTCACATGAGTACTGGCACCTATGCTCCTTATGGGGAGAGACCTAAGCCTGCTATAAACCTTTGCTACTAGTGGCAAACCCAATCCAAGCCAGCTCACCTCAGATCCCAACTACACAGAACAGCTGACCTCCACATCCTAGCTGCCTCTCTGCCCCCTAAGGGGAGCCAGCTGAGGACCCATGGCTGGCATGCAGAGAAGTGATGCCTGAGCAAGCGTTACCTGACATCCAGCCTCCTGCTGTACTCGGCAGCTCCACAAACTCATGTCAATGGTGTCTTTAGTGTTTAAGCCAGTTTGATTTCTGTCATTTCCAACTGAATGATTCTTAACCCATTTATGCCTGAGGTTGCAAATTTTGTGTGAAAAATCAGACCCTGGCAATGGCCTTGAGAGGTAGCATATAAATAACTCCTACAAGCTTAGCGTTCCAATAATGGAATACTAGGTATAATTGGTACAAAGGACAAGATCTGACCAACTGCGTATTACAAAGTATATACACAAATTATACATGCAAATTCTTGCATAAATTAGCAATACAGTTTCTAAAGAGTATGGTATCCACCATAGAATACTCATTGAAATTATCTTTATAATGCTGTAAATGTACCAGACAATACTGGAAAGTAATTTTTTAAAACAGTAACAGAACCTATCAAGTAGACATCAGTACTTCCCAGAAACCACTGCTGGAGGCACAGTCACCCTCCTGGTGAGCTCACCACTGCTCAACATGTCATGGGATCCTATTTTGCAAATGCTAAGGGAAAATTACTCCGATTTCAGCATCTACTTGTGCCATACACATGTGAAACGCACCATGGTGGAGGAGAGGAAGATTCCTATTGTTACTTAAGAGCATGAACATGCTCACAGGAAGATTCTCAACCGAATCAGAATGGAGAAACTAAAATAAGCATAGAAGGAAGACAAAAAGGTTTGAAGTCAAAACAACTATTTAAAAATCAAGGAACATTTCAAAATATCCAAGGCACCATTTTAGTTTGCCAAGTTCCAACCTGGAGTGCTATTTTATGGATCAGTTTATCAGGGCCCCCAAATAAGGAGCAATGTCGGAAACAGAATCAGCCTGTTCTCTCACCTAGAGCCCCAAAGCCCACTAGAAATGCAACCTCAGTAGTATCCAAGGGAAAGAAACAGTTGCCAGGTGGCCTTGGCTATGACAGTCCTTCTAGCCCCCATCCCTGCTCAGACATAAAACCCTACTCAGCACAGCGGCTCAGCGAGGTTCACCTTTCAACTGCACTGAGCGCTTCATGGGGGAAGTTTCTTAGCCTCCTCCTCACCTCCAAGAGCCAGCAAGGCTACTCCCAAGCCATGTCCAAGGCTACCATAACACAGGGTCAACAAGAGGGCGCCGTGAAACCTAGGGCTGCCACGTTCAGCCAGAAAGAGCATGTTCCCATGGGAACTCTGGGATTAATCTAATCTTTCTAGGAAAGATTAGGAAACGTCTAGGAAACTTCAAGAATGTACTTTACAGATGTCCCAGTCAATTAATTTTCCCGATTTCTAAACTCCTATGTTTGAAAGCGTAATCCAAACTAGATAGGCCCTACTTGACTGCTCATTAGCTAAGCCTATTACAAGGCCCGTTGTCATTCTCCGGACAGCCAGAACGTTTACTGAGTAGTTCATGCAATGCAAGCAGGACCAGAAACAAGATATGTAACCCTCCTGCGTCTGTGTTCCTGATCAGTACAGAGCCCGAGTCTGCCACAACCCTAAACATGCACACCGCTCCCTCAGCAAAAGCCGATACAATGTTTGAGAGCGGGAAGGGGAGATTGTATTTTTAACCAAGTTGAGAAATCTCTCCCTACCCTCTTGCATGGCTGCTCTTGTTTTAACTTTTTCCATCACATTCACCCCACCCTGGTTTTGTTAATTTTATTTCCTCATTAAAGGCTAGACAGTCTATCAAAAGAATGCCTCAAAACTCATCTAAGGGACAAAAATGCAAACACAAGCACCATTCATCATTTTGTCAGTGGTCCTCAGTAACACGCCACTAAAGAGGATGGAAGCCGGTCATTACACAAACATCCCATTATCTCATCTACAAGCACGCTGAGTTCTGACCGCGGACTAGCGTCTGATGAACGGTGGCGTGAGCAGAGGGAATGGCAAGAATAAGACACATCTGTCCTTTGTTTCACTGCATGGCCCTGCTTGAAAGTGCTCACCTGGGAAAATCCACGCCCCCATGGCCCACAGGTGCTATTCCTCAGGCTTAACAGCCCTTAGTGATGTGGTTTTCAATACCAGCTGAACATCAGAACCACCTGGGAGCCCTTACATTACCAGCTGTGCCCAGGATGTCTAATTAAAGCAGCTCTCTCTCAGTGGGTGAGACCGGGTGTGAGTAGTTGTTAAACCTCCCCCCAGGTGATGACAAGGTTCAGCCAGGGCTGAGGACCGCTGCCGTAGAGAAATCCCTCTGCCTCTGAGCCAGTACATTCATGTGAGCTGCAGAAATTGTATGAAGATTTAGAATGACTAACAGTCACTAACTTTAAACTTTAAAAGGAGATAAAGCCTCCCCTATTAAAAAAAAAAAAAAGGTCCACAAAGGCAGACCTGGTACGGTCAGGGACTCAGGTTGAAAATAGCACACTGGGGGCCGGGCATGGTGGCTCATGCCTATAACCCCATGACTTTGGCCAGGACGGGAGGATCACTTGAGCCCAGGAGTTCCAGACCAGCCTGGACAACATAGCGAAAACCCCATCTCCACAAAAAAACAAAAATTAGCTAGGTGTAGTGGTGCACACCTGTGGTCCCAGCTACTCAGGAGACTGAGGTGGAAGGATCACTTAAGCCCAGCAGGTCAAGGCTGCGGTAAGCCATGATCACACCACTGCACTCCAGCCTGGGTGACAAAGTGAGACCCTGTCTCCAAAAGAAAAAAACACACACACACACACACACACACACACACACACACACACAAAAACCATACTGACATCAAGCCCACAACCAACCGTCAGACTTACCAAGACCCAGCTTCCTATCAAAGGGAATATTTTAGGTATTAGTCATTTTATGAGATCTTCCTCACTTTTGTAAGGATGAAAAACAGAAAAACCCTCCTGTCTCCATCTGGGACTGAAAGCTCTCCTGAAGTGAGCTCTATCCAGCAATCACCTCTAATACCCACCCAGACAAGGCAAAAGAGAAAGGCAACCTGCTTCCATCAAGTCCACACACAGCAGCCGAGGTGAACTGCAAGACGTGTTTACAAATAACAAGGTAATTCCAAAGCGGTCCCATAATCAACTTGTTTCCAATGTCATCAGAATACTAAACCAAGACACATGAATTTTCATGCCAATTTAAGTCTTTAAGCTTCAGAAGCAAAACCCCCAGAGGTCAGCAGTGGTGTCCCACGATCTCCTGGGAGGAAATGCCACCTGAGATCCAGTTTCACCTGGGGACATTTGCAGACCCATGAAGTGTTCAACATGTGACAGATTATCCGCATTAGGGTTGCTCAAAGAGAGACCCAGAGTATAAGAGCCCTAGGTTCTGCCCCAACACTCCGTACTAAAATCACTTTTAAAAACAATGGCACCCAAATCATACCCCAGACTGAAAAAGATCAGGACTCTGGGGTCAGAAATTTTGAAAAGCAGTGGTCCTCACACTTTAGCACGCATCTAACTCTCCCGGAGAAACTACAGATGACTGGACCCTCCCCTAGGGTTTCCGATTCACAGGTCTGGCCTGAGAGTTCCCAGATGATGCTGATGATGCTGGCCCAAGGGCCACAGTGCGAGAATTGCCACTTCAGAGGCGCCCCAGGTGGCTTTAATTAGTACAGCCGGAACTCAGGAGTGCTGTATTGTAAGAGTGAGCCCCTGTCCAGGGCACGAGGAGGAGGGAATTCTTATCCAAACTCGGCTACAAACCTGGCGTCTGATCAATAAGCCCTCAAAATTTTTTGGACCTCAACCTGCTCTTGATATATAAAACTGACGTACCGCATGAAAGAGAACCTGGGTTCCTTGCAGAAATAAAACAATGACTTTTTCAAAGGGCTGTTGACACTAAGACACATAGAAAGGAAAGGAAGTGGTCTCGGCAATAAAACAGCTTTCGAAATAGAGGGGAAGGTAAGTTCTCGCTCACATGGCTTCAGTGCACTGGGAGATACACACAGGGTGCAGGCGGTGCGTGTGCTCTAAGCCAGTCACACTGCTGCCCGGACTCACCTGTTAGAACCTTGCAGAGATGCTCAGGTCTCTCAGCCTTGGCAGAAGGGCTGGGGGTCAAGGACCATTTTCGCCTGATCAGATGCTCCCGTCCGCTGAATGGAGCCTGGGAGTTGTTGAGGGGCTGGATTAGCACCTGCTCCTGCCCAAGCTGAATGAGGCCAACCTGCCCAGACAAGAGAAGGAAAGGCGATGTCGGTCATCCTCATTCACACACGCCCACGGTCCCCCAGGAGGGCAGGCAAGGCCACCTTGCTGGGATTTGGTGTCCCATGTCTGGGCTCTTTTCTTCGCTAATTGGTCCGATTTACGTGAGCCCAAGAGTGAGCTTCTGTGTGACTTAAAAACGTAACACAGAGCAGGTGTGTTGGGGGTGGGGGAGAGATACAGGTACAACAGCACCCATTCTCCACGCTGGCTTTCAGAGAAGATGAATTACTTTGTTATCAAATCTTTTTAATTTTAAAATTATTTTTTAAATTACTTTAAAAATCATCCCCGCAAAAGTCCACCTGGGAGGCAGCACTGAAACTGCTGGGAATGACATTTACGTCCCTAATAGAAAAATGTATCTCTTCCCTGGGTGTATTAACAGTAACATTAGTATTGTTTTGACAGCATCAAAACAATCTGCCCTCCTTCCCCAGGCACCTGCTGCTAGTTTCCCTTCGTTATCTAGAGTCAAATGGTAAATCTCTCAAGGAAATCGAACCCAGCCAGGGCCAGGGGAGGACGTGGCTTGTACACTGATCAATGCAGGCGACATCCCGTCCTCCTGGGAACAATCCTGGACTGCCTGTGATAGCACAGATTCAGGAGATCTGGCGGATGAGTCTTACGGGGTCATGACATCCTTTCTTGTCTCCCTCTTCCTCCATCACTTTTTAAAAGCCATGACAGGCCAGGCGTGTTGGCTCACACCTGTAATCCTAGCACTTTGGGAGGTCAAAGTGGGTAGATCACGAGGTCAGGAGTTCAAGACCAGCTTGGCCAAGATGGTGAAACCCCGTCTCTATTAAACTACAAAAAATTAGAAAGGTGTAGAGGCAGGTGCCTGTAATCCTAGCTCGGGAGGCTGAGGCAAGAGTATCGCTCGAACCCAGGCAGCAGAGGTTGCAGTGTATCGAGATCACGCCACTGTACTCCAGCCTGGGTGACAGAGTGACACTCCATCTCAAGAAAAAAAAAGCCATGACATACTAAACCATTGGTTCCCAAACCCTAGCGTGCACCAAAATCACCTAGAGGTCATGATGGAGCCCAGGAATGTGCATTTCTAAGAAGTTCCCACATTACACAGGGACCACACTTGGAGAAGCACCACCCCCCCCACATACGCCGCACTAACTCCTGGGGTCTCAAGTATAAAGCTCACTTAAGCCAAATCAGAGAGCCCCCCTCAATGTTCTGAAAGGATGCACTGGTACCAAGATTCCTGGAAAGTCAATCAGATCAACTAATAATTCAGATGGCCTACAATCCCGAGTCCCCAAGATACACGGTGAGGCCAGACTCACTGCTCCAAGCGTATTTCAAGGTTTCCATTTCATTAGAACTTTTGCCAAGAACAACTCAAAGATTTTACTGCCCAAATAAAACTGTCTCAAAGTGGCACCGCATGACCTGCAGGAGAGCACAGCTTTCCTCCCTCTCCTTTGAAGTGAAAACCCGAGTTTGTTCACGGGGAAACTGAAGAAACGGAAGAGGGTGGCCACCGCGGAGCCCCATCACAGCTGTGCACGAAGCAGCCTCAGTGCAGGCCACCTGAGAACTTCCGAAGTCAAGACAGAGTGGGTAGCGAATGGCACAGCGAGTGGGAAGGAGCCCCACGTGGGAGGACCTGTCGCTTTCTAGCGGATGAGCTTCCCCCTAATGAGGGCCTGGACTCATTTGGAAACACCCTGGCTGTGGGTCAAAGCTCCCCAGGGCCTAGCACTTTCAAAGCCAGTTATTACTGGTTCAGTCTAGTGTCGGCATTCACAAACCCCCACATAAAAAGCAGTTAGCTGTTAGTTCTAATGTGATTCAAGTTTTTAAAGACAGGGCGATCTCACCTTGGTGAGAAATCCTACACATTCACACTCGTGTATACATGCAAAGCCTCCCTAGTGCCTTAGGGGAGGATTTTCTTTGCAGTTTTTCAGGGGCCCCATGTGCTGGTTTCCATAAACTTCAGGAAGAAAACAGCAATGCTGGGGAAAGATGGATAATTAGACTAGTGGGTACTCAACCTGGCAGCCACTTGCCCTCTCGGGCCCCGATCTCAAGCAGGGATGTGGCCAGGACTAGCCCCAAGAGGGAGGGGCTGTACAGGGCCCTCACCCTGGGAACCAGCATGAGGAAGGACCCTGCCTCGTCCTCCCTGCCTGTCTCACTGTACGCAGACTCCCTCAGCCGTCTGTAACACTGCCATTGTCAGCACTTCACCAGTGTCAAATGTCCTGTTGAGATGAACCACCTGTGCATTGCATACAGTCTCACCCCAAAATACCCACCAGCCCTCTTCCTCTCTCCCTGAATAAAGCCCCTTCCCTGCAGCCACCTGCAAGCTGACATTCCAACCCACTACCCCATGTGAAACATTTTCACCACCTAACAGTCTGTTCCATAGAGGAAGGATCAGAATTATTCCTTCTGTTTTTGCCAATCTCTGCCACGTAACAGTTACTCAAAAAGAAAACAGACACGCGACCGAAAACGCAGTTACCTGCATGGACTGCCGGCAGCCTCCTTGCTCAGGGCTTCTCACCCCTGGCAACATATTGGTATTATTTAGGGAGCTTTGAAAACTCCTGATGCCTCAGCCCCTACTCCAGGCCAAGTGAATCAGAATCCCTGGGGTGAGGCCAGGCACCGATATTTTCTCAAAGGTGACCAGGAAAATTCAATGTGTAGCCAGGGCACCATTCTAGCTTTTAACTGGGCTGGAGACACTGGACACCACTGCCTGGATTCCGTGTCTAGAGCTCCTTGGTCTTTGAACCCGGGCCCTCCTCTGACTATGGAGATATGCCCACTGCCCCGGCTTCTAGCCCACCACTGCCCTGGAGAGCCGAGCAGGGCTTCCTGGGTCTGTGTGACTCCTGCAGTCCCCATCTATGCGGAGAAGGGAGAAGCAGGGAAAGGCTTGCCCAAGGCCTCTTCTGTTCCACTGATGGGGAAGAAATACCGGCACTGAGCCTGGGCCTTAGATACAGGAGGCTTGCAACCAGCCTCCAAAGAGACAATCTGGAAACAAATGCCTATGGCGGACACGATCAGCAGCCCTGAGGCCCCTTGGTTTTAAGGGCTACAATAAAGCCCCCGGTGAAAGGGTGCTCTTAAAAGAGAAATCTGAAGTTCTGCAGAATTTGGTCTGCTATACTCAAGTGTGGATCAAATAAATGGATCCGGTGATAACGTGATATTTCAGCAGTGTGAGTGGGTACCTTTCCACTCTCTCTGTTGTGGGTACTTGCTTTGAAGGGTCTTATTAAGACAGAGTTATAAATCAGGTACTGTTCGCTCCACACCACACCCCCAACAAAAAGGACTAGCTCTCACTGCAGCATGGAAAGCGTGTGAAAGACAGAGGTTTTTATCACCTAATGTTAGAAAATGCGGTTAAGATAACAGAGAAACTCTGTCGAATGTGCTCCAAAGCACGCCTCTGTCAGAGGGGGCAAAGTCACATAATTCCACAAAGCCCTAAACAGAATTCCCTTTCTTCAGGAGACTGCAGCTCCTCAGTTAATGGGAGTGGCTCTTGGGTCTCCTTCTCTAGGTCAAAATGGGTTGAGAGGATGGGGCCAAGGGGGCAGTGAGTTTGCTTTCTGTAAGGATCAACCTGCTTCCAAGAAGAAAAGCCACCCAATGACTGCAGCTCCTCCTGCCTGCCTCTGACTCTCCGCTATGACTGCACATCCTCCTGCCTGCCTGCCTCTGACTCTCCACTATGCAGCTCCTCCTGCCTGCCTGACTCTCCACTATGACTGCAGCTCCTCCTGCCTGCCTCTGACTCTCCACTATGACTGCACATCCTCCTGCCTGCCTCTGACTCTCCACTATGACTGCAGCTCCTCCTGCCTGCCTCTGACTCTCCACTATGACTGCACATCCTCCTGCCTGCCTCTGACTCTCCACTATGACTGCACATCCTCCTGCCTGCCTCTGACTCTCCACTATGACTGCACATCCTCCTGCCTGCCTCTGACTCTCCACTATGACTGCAGCTCCTCCTGCCTGCCTCTGACTCTCCACTATGACTGCACATCCTCCTGCCTGCCTCTGACTCTCCACTATGTATGACTGCACATCCTCCTGCCTGCCTCTGACTCTCCACTATGACTGCAGCTCCTCCTGCCTGCCTCTGACTCTCCACTATGACTGCAGCTCCTCCTGCCTGCCTCTGACTCTCCACTATGACTGCAGCTCCTCCTGCCTGCCTCTGACTCTCCACTATGACTGCAGCTCCTCCTGCCTGCCTCTGACTCTCCACTATGACTGCAGCTCCTCCTGCCTGCCTCTGACTCTCCACTATGACTGCAGCTCCTCCTGCCTGCCTCTGACTCTCCACTATGACTGCAGCTCCTCCTGCCTGCCTCTGACTCCGCATGGGCCTGCACCTCTTCCCGTGGAAGGAGCCTCCCACGTGACACAGGTATGCAGGGCTTCCCAACCTGCACCCCTTCTGAGGAACCACCCCGAGGTTCCCTTCTGCAGTCTTGTGGTCGCCTCTGTGAACGTGGAATCCCTGAGCACAGATGCCTGCTCTTCTTCCCAAAGCCGGCCTCCCGTCGGTAGTGAGCAGTCCCTCACTTCAGCATCACCCCTCTCAGATCACTAGACAGTGTCGGCCAGCCAAAAAGGACTGCCAGCCTGCCCTTCAGAGTTCCTCTTGTGTGCTCTTCCTTCCTTTCTGTCCCGGGCTTGCCCCTGTCGGAGTCCTGAGCCTGGTCAGTTCCCTGCTCTAAGTGCTCCCTTTCTGTCCCAGGCTTGCCCCTGTTGGAGTCTTGAGCCTGGTCAGTTCCCTGCCTTAAGTGCTCCCCTAAGCCCTCCCCATCTGCTCTCCCCAGGGTTCCTCAGCTACCCATCTTCCATTGCCTCTCAGCCAGTGACCCTCAGAGTGCCCTCCCAAAACAGCAGCATCAGCATCCCCTGGGGAACTTATGAGAAATGCAAGCTCCC